CGCGAAAGGGCATCACGGGAGGGCAATTGTCATTCTCTATCACCATATCGTCTCTTCCCTCTATCGCTCAGCATGTGGATATATGCGCGTAGTCCGAGAAGCAGGCCCGTCTATAGGGGGAGGGGGGGGGGAGGGGTCTGGCGCGCCATGCCCCTCCCAGAACCTCCCCGCGAGTCGCCCGCGAGCCGCGAGCCCCCCAGTCGCTGGGGTTGCGCCGTCGCGAGGCAGGCCCAATTACGAGCAAAGGGGGAATGTCACCAGTCACCAGCCAGTGGGGGAAAGAGAGAGAGAGAGAGAGAGAGAGAGAGAGAGAGAGAGAGAGAGAGAGAGAGAGAGAGAGAGAGAGAGATGCAACCATAATATCACATGGCGTCGGCACGTGGCAACGACCTGCATACACCATCTCATCCACATATTCCGCCCCCCTCTGTCGAATCGCTACCCCTGTTCGTCGCCGCAAACGCTTGTGTCTTCTGGCACGGGCCCGCTCCCCATGAACCCACGCCCCCGAGAACCTTATGAAATACTTCCAACGAGCCGCACTCCAACAAGATAGCGTGCTGAGTGTTCGCGCTCGTGTGGAGCGCACTGCAGCACCCGTACCCCAGAGTAGTTAAGGGAAGGTGTCTACTGATACCTGTTCCAGTGGTGCTCGCAATCTTATCCTCGTCACACACCGTCGGTTTCCATGACACCCTGTCCTCGAGCAGCGGATAAAAATTATAAGGTGGTTGAGGGCTGCTGTCGCCTTGCCAGTGCCTGCTGAAACAAAGACGGCGGGCGAGCTCGCGCTGGTACAAGATCTCCAACACGCCCACTCGGGACCCGATTTTATACCTGAACTGTGGAGGCATGTTCGTCTTCAGGTCGGCCAACGCGCCACGCAGCACGCCGTCATCTGGAATAGCCATTCTGCAACACAACTCAGTGACCTCACGCAGTGGGGTCAAGCCCTCGTTCTTCATATACTGTGCGAGCAAGAACGTGCGGAGTTGGGTCTCAGGCTGAACGCCGCGTTTTATCGAGCGGCAGCGGGTGGACCCCAAACAGAACGCAAGCCGCGGCGCCCCCGCCCCCCCTCCCCCCCGCCCACCCCACCCACCGCCCACTCCCTGCGCCACCTCCGCACCCCGCCCACTGCACCCCCTACCCACCCCGCGCCCACCACACCGCCCACCCAACCAAGAAAAAACATAAAAAAGAAAGCACACGCGCGATACGCGGCGCAATCATGAATATCACGGGGGCGCCAACCACGAGGCCCCGCGAGAATTAATCGCGGAGCGACGCCCACGAAACACCGAAACGACCGTCACCGCGTTGCGCCCGCCATCGGGCGTCAACCTCGGGGCGCAATCCAGATTCCCGATACTGCGCAAACCATGCGGCGCCACACGGAGCGACACCACCTCACGCATCATCATCCGCCTCGGGTACCAGCGCGGCGCGGTCGCGCGGCCCATTGTGAGGGGGCAGGGCTTCTGCGTGCAAACACTGTTTGGGGAATGGCGAAACCCGATAGGGCCCGTGCCAGAAGCAAGCCCGCTCCCCTTCCCCGTCCTCGCTGGCTTCTCTCCCATGCTCTGCCCCTCTCTCTCGCAGTAGCGGCGGGGGGGGGGCGGGAGGCGGGGGGGTGGGGGGGGAGAGGGGGGGGGCAGCGACTCCTTCCAAATGAAGTCCCCCTTCAAGAAGCCGTGGGACTTCTTGTTCTTCTTCTCGAGCGCCACGGCCGATGAGCTCGGGCCCAACTTCTCGGCGAGAGAGGGTGGCGGGGGGATGCGTGGGAGGTGGGGGGGGGTGGGCAAGCGGCAGGAGGGTGATCTGGAGGAGGACAAGAGACGGCATGACAAGGAAGAAGGATAGGAGGAGCAGGATGTCGCCTGAGGAGGAGGAGGAGGAGAGGGTGGGGGAGGAAGGCTCGGAGGAGGAGGAGGAGGAGGACTGAATGAGGAGTTGCTGGGCGGAGAGCGGCCGCTGCGGTGGTGAGACGATTAGACGACGATGAACGACGCCGACGTCGGCGATGCGACGACGACGACGAGGGTCGGCGACGACGACGTGCGCACGACGTGCCACGGACGACGGACGCGCGCGACGAGCACCACGAATCACGAAGAGCGCCTTCGACGACGACCGACGACGACCGACCGACGACCAACGACCGACAAACGACGTCGACGTCGACGTCGACGTCGACGTCGACCGACGACGGCGACGACGACGACGACGACTCGACGGCGACGACGACGGCGACAACACAGACGGCCGCGGCGGCGACGGCGACGGCGGCGGCGGCGACGACGCGCGGCGGCGGCAGCGACACAGACGGCGGCGGCGGCCGCCCTCAGACTTCATCATCCTCCTCCGCTCCTCCGTTTCCCCTTTCATCATCTTCCCCATCCTCGACTCACCCCCCTCCCCCTCCACGCCGCGCAACTCCCCCGGGAGCGGCAGCAGTCCTGAAGGAGGCAGACCGCCGCTGAGCCGCGCGGCGGGAGGACGCCCGCCCGCCGCGCGTGCTCGCGGCCTGTCAGCGCGAAGCGCTGGCCGGCCAGGATCTTCTCGCACAGCTCCGCGGGCAACCGAAAAGCCTCCCGCTCCGCGGGTCGGGCGGCCGGAGGCGGGGGGGGAGGCACCTGGGGTTAGGGGCGGAGAGCGCGGGGGACGATGGAGGGACGAAGGGCGGAAGAGGGAGGTTCGGGGTGGGAGGGGCGGCGGGACGGAGCAAAGGATGGGAGAGGACGTCGCGACGACGGAGGCGACGAGGAGGAGATTGGGGCGAGGACGACGACTCGACGACCGACGACCGACGAGGAGGAAGACCTGCGGCCTGCTGCCACAAGCATAGCCGAGGCTGGCCAGTGCATCTGCACCAATCGTGGGCACATCCAAGTTGCACACTTGGAGCCACGACTTCGCGCTGTCGGTCGGGATCGTCTTCGGACTCCCGTCGACCGCGGCGAAGCGTGAAATGCGCCAGCACAGCGGCTCGGCGTCGGAGGTCAACCCCTGCGCCTCTGTGCGCGCACTGCGCACTGCGCGCCTCCTCCTCCCTCCTCCGAGGCCCGAGGCCGCCGAGGCCCTCAGCCTTCCTCCTCGTCCTCCTCCTCCTCCTCCTCCTCCTCCTCCTCCCCCTCCTCCTCCTCCTCCCCCCTCTCCTCCTCCTACCTCCTCCTACCTGCCTGCATCTGTGCGCGCACCTCTGGGTGCGAGCACGTGGCGGGGTCCACGGAGTCGCAGGCCGCGAGCTCCATGACCCCCCACGCGCGCACCGTCGTGGACGAGGCAGCGGCGCGACTCGCGCCGCTGCCCGCCCACTTGGAGGCGTCCAGCGACACCAGGAGGAAGCTGCGAGGAAGGAGGTTGCCCTCCTTCTTCCTCGCAGCTCCCGTCTTCTTGTGCCTGCCAGGGCCGACGTCTTCGACGTGCGGGAGCATGGTCGAAGAGGCGGGGGGCGTGCGGACGGGGGTACTACTCTCTTGTGTGACTTCGCTCGACTACACAAATACGACAACGACAACGACGTCGACGACGGACAACGGACGGAGGACGACGGACGACTACGACGTCGACGTCGACGACCCGACGACTCGACGACTCGAGGACGGCGAGGCGGTCGAGGAGGACGGTGGTGAGGGACGACGACGACGGACGACGACGACTCCGACGACGGACGACGGCGACGCACGTGCGACGTACGACGTACGACGTAAACGGACGACGGACGAGTACGCGAGCACCACGACGACGACGGCGACAACGACGACGACGACGACAACGACGAACGATGAACACGACGACGACGATCACCACGACGATCGACGACGACGACGACGACGACGACGGCGACGACGACGACGACGACGACGACGACGACGGCGACGGCGACGTCGGCGACGACGGCGGCGGCGGCGGCGACGACGACGAACGACGAACGCCTCCTTCCTGCCTCTCTCCTCCATCCTCCCTCCCCTGGACTCTTGGACTCCGAATGCCCCCCCCGCGGCCCGCGGTTCGTCGCGGCTCGTCCATCATGCCTCCTCCCTCCTCCTTCCTCCTCCTCCTCCCTCCTCCCTCCTCCTCGTCCACCCTCCCTCACTCCTCCTCGTCCATCCCTCCTCCCTCCTCCTCGTCCATCCTCCTTCCTCACTCCTTCCCCCTCCTCGGAGCCTCCTCCCCCCCCACCTCCGCCCGCACTTCCCCGCCCCGTCTCGCGGCGCCGCCGCGGCGGCGGCGCCGCTGGGCGCCGCCGCGGCCGGCGGCCGCCGCCGTGGCCCGCGCGGCCCGCGCGGAGCCGCGGAGGGCGGAGGCCCTCAGCCACAATGGCTGAGCGGCGCAGCACGCGCGCACGCGCGCGCGCCGCACCCAACCCCCCCGAAAACATTTCCGAAACCACCGCCCTCTCGAAACCGCACTCCCCTTCCACCGCACCCCTACAACCCACCGCACCAAAAAAACTGAAAATGGCTGTAGCATGTAATAAAAAACTGCAACATGTTAAAAAGAAGGTGTTTCTAAAAATCTACGAGTTGTAATCCTCCTCCTCCTCCTCCTCTTCCTCCTCCTCCTCATCCTCCTCCTCCTCCTCCTCCTCCCCCTCCTCCCCCTCCCCCTCCCCCTCCTCCTCCTCCTCCTCCTCATCCTCCGCCTCTTCCTCCTTCTCCTTCTCCCCCTCCTCCCCTAACCGAAAATGCGGCCACAACCGAACATAACCTATGAAAATGCGGCCCTAACCTACAACATGCGGCCCTCCTGTACAATTACTAAGTATGAATACTGCTCTCCTCTTGCCCCTACCTCCTCCTCCAGCCGTTCGTTTTACCTCCTGTTCACCGCCTACCACCCCTCGAAAACAGGTTTCTCACAGCAGTACAGTCGGCCTTGATTGGACAGGACACGCGAGAAGACACAAGACCCTTCCGAAGGCCACATCGCCACGGGAGTGTAAGACGGCACGTGTCGCGAAGCACAGGACACAAGGGTACCCTTGAGCTGACAGGGTCGACCTACTAATCCGGGCCGACTGTACTGCGCCGCGCGGAACGGGGCGCAGCCACGCGCGCACAGAGGAGCCCCGCGCCCTGAGTTGCCTGACCGCGGTAGGCTTCACAGACATGGTGCCCTTGTGCGCGGCGCTGCCGCGATGCCTTTCGCAAGGCGCGGCCGATGCGCTTAGTCCCTCTCCCCCCCTCGGCATCTTCCCTCTCCCCCTTCCGCCCCCACTCCTCCCCTCCCCTCCCCTACCCGCTTCCTTCATCCCCGCCTCCTCCCTCTCCCTATTCCTCCTCCTCATCCTTCGTCCACCTACTCTTCCTCCTCCTCCTCCTCCTTCCATCTCCTACTCCTTCGACCTCCTCTGGCACAAAACGGTGGGTCCTCTGAGGGAGACTAGCCCTAGGCTTCCCTGGGATCGGCTTTTCCTCCCGAGCAATGTTTGGCTGACGGCGCCTGAGGCCCAGGAAGGGCCCCGAGGGGGACGACGACGGGGACACAGACCAGGCCTCCTTTGCCTCAGGACCTCTTTCCTTCAAGACCCCTCCAATCGATCCCCCTGACCGCTCCACGAGTACGCTTGGGCCCACCTTTCGAGGCGGATCCAGATGGGACGACAACATCCCACAAACCTCGACCCTCATCCTCGTGGCGACTCCTCCTCCTCCTCCTCCCCCTCCTCCTCCTCCTCCACCTCCTCCTCCTCCTCCTCCTCCTCCTCCTCCGCCTCCTCCTCCGTCTCCTCCTCCGTCTCCTCCTCCTCCGCCTCCTCCTCCTCCTCCTCCGTCCCCCCCTCCTCCAGGACTATTTTTTCTCCATGGAGGCCCCCCTAGAAGACCTATCCCCGCGCACGCTTGGGCCAGAACTTACAGGCGGACCCCACCTGGGGCGACGAGAGGCCTCCAGGACGCCCCGAGAGGAGGAACGCCTGGGCGACGAGCAACGCCGAGACGGCATACGTACCGACCTTACGCCGCAGCAGGCGTGGCGAGGTGGCACGACTTTGGCGCGGGCCTCCCCGCGAGATGGCACAGCGACCTTGGCACGACCGACCCTGGCACGGGTCACGGGTCTTGGCGACCTTGGCACGGGTCTTGCGCGAGGTGGCACAGCGACCTCACGCCGCAGCTCACGCGGGCCGCCAGCGCGGCACGCCACGCCGGAGACGAGGGCGCCCGCGCGCGACCCCGCGCGGGCAGCGTGCGCGCCGATGCCGGCGAAGGCAAGTCCCCGTTGTGCGTCGGCCCATCTGGCAGAGTCCTCGACGCTTCTCCTCGCGGCGGCTCCTCCTCTTCCTCCTTCTTTGAAGGGGCCCAGGGACACACACACACACACATAAATACACACCAATAACACGATTCCCCATATTTTCCTATATGTTCTAGGTTTCTGTCTTCGCCCCACTTCCCATATGTTCCCATATGTTCCGGGAAATCGACGATTAATTGTGTCTGTGTGTGCTTTTCCCCTCTTGATTCTTAGCCATTCATTTTTTTCTCAGTACCCATGGAACCACCCTTCGGGCGAGAAGGAGGTTTGGGGGGGAAGGGAACCCCACTGACGACATCTGCGATGGCTGTGGTGCCGATGAGATTGCGACATTGCACGATGACGCTCATGGTGGCAATGACTCTTGGTGATTGCAATGTCAGGCGACACAGCCGCGATGGAGCTCACACCACATAGATGCGACCTCACATTCGACTTCAATCGACTGATCTCGCTACCGGTTTCACGATCGAGCTTATTATCGATCTCAGTGTCTGTCTCACAATCGACCTCACTACCGATCGGACTATCGGTCTCACAATGTATCTCACGTTCGATCTCACTATCGACCTCTCAAAAGATCTCATGCACGATCTCACAGCGAGTGGCGTTCAGTACGATCGCTCTCGATATCGATCGCAATAATGATCGCAATGTCGATTCCACTATAGATCCCAAGGTCGATCTCACAAGAGATCCCACGGCCACGATCGAGCTCACAAGAGATCTCACGAGACACCATCGGGACACCACGATGGGGCCCCCCCAGCCACGGCGGGACACCCCCAGCCAAAGATCTATTGTGATCGATCAGACTATCGATCTCACTACCGATCTCTCGACCTCACGATCACGATCGATCACGCAATCGATCTCACTATCGATCTCACAACTGAGCCCACGAAATACCATCGAGACACCGCGGCTGGACACCCGGAGCCACTGTCGGGACACCCCGCGCCACCGACGGGGCACCCCGCGCCACCGACGGGACACCGACGCGCCACCGACGGGACACCCCTGGTCACCGCGCGCCCGGGGGGGGGGGGGCGGACAACCAGCTCCACAGTCCCTAGCCACGGCGGCATCATTCCTCGCGCTTGTCCACGCAGCTTCCCCGGTGGGGGGCTCTCCGTTCCACTGCGATCCCTCCGATCGTCTTCCTGCCGCATTCCCAGTCGTGTTGGTAGGGCGGGCCGGGCGTTTCGCCCGAGATCCACTCCCCATGTATGATGCTGAAGCTGAGAATTTCCAACAGTTTCACGGATCGAGGGCGGGCCGTTTCCAAAACAACAAAAAAAACTAAGCGCGGCGCATGTTCGTTTCAAACATGTGCAGCATTTTCAACGATGGAGGGCGGGCGGTTTCAAAAGGATGCTCTCGCCTCAGCGCCGCTCACGCTCGTCTTGAAAGTCTGCTCGAGGTTCGCGGATTCGCATGCCGAAGTCCCAGGGATGATGTTCTGGCATGGGTTAGGAGTGTCAAGACGCAACAGCCATGTTGATTCGTTGAGTTGACGTGCGCGATTGGGAATTGTCAGGACGCAACACTCACGTTGATTGGCGACGCTGAAATCCAAGGAATGGCGCTCCGACAAGATTGATGATTCTCAGACGATTTCCAACGGGGCATTCCCCGCAATGACAATGAGTTCTTGTACGACGCTGTGGATAAAAGAACATGGAGGGAGGGTTTATCGCAACAACGTCGATGCGTCTTGGGTTTGCTCTGGTCCTCCTCCTCCTCCTCCTCCTCCTCCTCCTCTTCCAACTCTCAGCGGCGCGCCCAAGGAGGAAGGCAGAGGGGCCGGAACTTCCCAGAAGCCTCGGAAGGCCTCCAACCCTCTGAGTAACCAGTGAAGCCCGGACGCTTCGCCACTGCTCGAGAGCCTCCTCCTCCTCCTCCTCCTCCTCCTCCTCCTCCTCCTCTTCCTCCTCCTCCTCCTCCTCCTCCTCCTCCCTGCTCCTCCTCCTCCCTGCTCCTCCCTGCTCCCTGCTCCTCCCTGCTCCCTGCCCCCTCGGCGCGCCGGCGCCGCTGCCCTGCCCTCTCCTGCGCCCTCCCCCGCCACCCCCTCGGGGATGGGGCATCGCGCCGCGCGGCCAGCGGGCGCGCGCCTGTGCACCCATGGCGCGACCCTCCCGGTTCTCCACGGACGGGGGACGACGACGACGACGACGACGACGACGACGACGACGACGACGACGACGACGAGGACGACGACGACGACGACGACGACGACGACGACGACGACGGCGGCCAGAACTGCTTTCGAACGGTTTGTGAAACGCCCGAGGCTCAACCCGGGCATGCACCAGATAAAACACGCGGCCACCTCACGAACGGCACCGCGGCCCCGTCGAAGGAATGGCCCCGAGCCTCTCCGGGAGGGCGAGGAGGGAAGAGCAGGAGGAATAAGCGGTCGAGGAGGGAGTCTGACGCGCGCGCAAGCGCATGCTTGAGTGCGGCAAAGGAGGGGGGCAAGGGGAGGGGGGAGGCGATAAGGCAGAAACAAGGAACCTACACGCACACACACATACACACACACACACACACACACGCGTGCACACACACACAAACACACACACACACACTTTGGCGTCGCCGCCTCGAACGCAGCGTCGAGGCGGAGAAAAGCAGATAAACGGAACGCGGGAGACGCGCGGGACCGGCCCACTCAGAAAGCGGGGGGCAGGGATCCACACGCACAAACACAAACACACATACACACATACACACTCACAAACAAACACACACGCACACGCCACCCGATAACCGACCTAGACGGCCAACCCGCCACCAACACAGGCACGCAACCCTCTACAGCGACCCGCAGGGGCTGGCGAAGCCACCGAGAGTGTGGAGAGCACAAGCGACGACCCCATCCAATCTGCGGGCGCTTAGTCAGCATCGACGTCGCTCCCCCGTGCTGGAAACTGGACCCGTTGTACGGGTGCCACTGCACAAAGAGGCGCACCCGCACACCGCCAACTTACCCCACCGATACCACCGGTCAAATGTGGGTTGAGGACGGGTTGCAAGGACGCAAGAACCTTGGAGGCCGAGGCTAGGATGTTTGGCGACGGTCGACCAGTGAGAACGGCGAAGGACGGGCCGCAGTGGCAAGGACACAAGGGCACCTTAGATGCAGGCGCGCGTCCTCACCAAGCGCGTTGACCGCCCCACTCTCCACCCGCGCCACCCGACCCTCGGCAGGTCGGCGCTAGCCGCCGAGGACAGCTGCAGCTGCCCTGGCGGAGCGAAGCCACTGTCCACACAACCTAATCTCAGCCTTGCCCCGACCACATGGCGGTGCTGCTCCTGCCAATCTGTCCGGCATGCACAACCTTCACCCTCCTCGACACCCACACCTTCGAAACACTCCGCGCTCACGGCCACACGGCATCAGCACCACCAGTAGACTATCAGCAACGACAGCAAAGCGACGACAACCCTCCACCATGCCACCCGTCCCTCCTACCCGCACGGCAGCAGCAGCGACCGCCCATCCGACTCCCAACCTCGACGCTCGCATCCACCCGCACAGCGGCATCTCCCAACGTAGTCGACACGGACAGCACCAATACGGCAGCACCGACGAGGCCCATGCAGAAGACTGCAGGCCTCCCGACCAGCGAGGATTCCACACGCTGGCCCTGCATAGCCTTGTAGGCGTTCCCGACCCGCCCTCATCCCACTCGTAGGGTGCTGCCCTGCGTCCCCCCTCCTTCCTAACCGCGGCGCTCAGCGCCTGCCGCCTGCCGCCACCCTTCGCCACACCTGCCCACCAGACCACCCCTCTCGCAACCCCCCCCCCGCATTCAACCGCCTGCCGCCACCCGTCGCCGCACCTGCCCATCAGACAACTCGTTTCACATCAGGGCTGAACCTCAACGGTGTTCTTCGTTTTTCGTTTTGCTTTCGCTTTCCCTCGTTTTGTCTTCAATCCACCTCTGCCGCAAAACGAAGTCGGAACGAAAACGGCCCACACGAAATCGCCCAAACACCGTTTAGGTCCAGCCCTGTTCCACACCACCCCCCTCGCTGTCGCCCGCCGCCAGTGGGACGGGGGCGGGATGTTGAAGGGAAACTGGGACACACAAATAAATCATCGGTGGGGCATGATCAATCAACGTCGGATCGGGAAATCGGATCGAGTCGGACGGCGCGTCGGATCGGGCTGCGTCGGCACGCGGTCGAATTCTAATCCGATCGGCTGCGCCAGGATGCATAGCAGCGCCGAGCAGGCATCGGCCCACGTCGGACCGTCGGGGCATCGATATCGAATCGGATCAAGCCAGATGTCATCGGCGTCGAATCGGATCGATCAAACCCAAATCGGCGGCGAGCCTGGGGGGCAAGTGAGACGGAGACGGAGAAGGCCTTCTCGGAAAGCTTGGAAAACCCCCAGCCTTCTGAGAAGCTTTCTGAGCCTTCCCAGAAGACACAACAAACTGCTCAGAAGCCGCGAGGGCCTCGGCGAAGCCCGGCCGCCTTCTGAGAGGGCCTTCTTCTTCTCACTTCCCCCCTCGCTCGGCGCCGCATCTGGTTTCATAACTCGGGTCTCCGAAGACCGTTCGCGACGATCCGGGCACCCCCTGAACGCCCTCGGCGAGGCGCAGCTGCTGTCAAACATCCCGAGGCTGGGAAACCGCCGAGGACCGACGAGAACGCCTGAAAACCCAGCCGCCCTCGGCGAATGCCCGGGGCGCTGCCGCGGACCGGCGTGGCAGCGCCCCACCCAAGAGCACTGCCGAGGAGGGCCCCCTGTCGCCATCGCTCAGGCGTCCATTCCCCGTGCACTTTTCGATTTCGCGCGCGGCTTTTTCGCAAGACAGCCTAGGATGCTCCCCGATGGTCCCCGCCAGAAGAGAACGCACACGTCCGAGCGGTGCCAAGCCACCTCCCCTCGGGGGTGGGGTCACCGCTCGGACCGACTCCGCAGCGCCACTCGCCCCCGAGTCGCCACCCCTCTCCGAAGCTGATTCTGGTCAGCAGCGAAGGCGAACGCCAGCGCGGTCGAAAGCCGGCGGGCCGCGCCCAGCTGTAGGGCACACCAGACGAGAAGACGAGAAGAGGACGACCGCGGAGGGGGAACGCGGGGGAGGAAGAGGAGGAAGAGGAGAAGGAGAAGGAGGAGGAGGAAAACGAGGGAGAGGAGGAGGAGGAGGAGGAGGAGGAGGAGGAGGAGGAGGAGGAGGAGGAGGAGGAGGAGGAGGAGGAGGAGGAGGAGGAGGAGGAGCCACGAGACACGCACCCGCCATGTCGGGCACTCTCCCACGCCGTACACGCCCGCACTGCCGCCACACTTCCCCCGTCTCGTCGTCCTTCCCGGTCGCACCGCGCCAGCCGCCAACCGCCGCCGACGCACATCCCCCCTCCCGAGCCTTGGGATAAGGATAGGATGGCCGGGCTTTACCTTTCCCTCGGGAGGTTGGGGCCCACGCTCGAGCCACCCACCAGTGAAGCGCGCCCGCCCGCCCCAGCCCCTGTGCCCACCACAGCGGGTGGACCCCTCGACAAGACGCCTGGCGCCTTGGGACAGCGGCCAAGGCCGCATCTCTGCGCACACGGGCGCAGGCACCAACCCCACCGACCTCAGCCCCCCAGGCACCTTCAGGGTCCGTCTCGTCCTTCGGCCGTTCCCTCCTTTTCCCATTGCCTGGCGGTTTGTTCTTCCATTTCCACCTGGCACAGGCCAAGAGGAGGGCCATGAATGGCCCTAGTTCCTGAAACAGAACCGTCGACAACCCTAGATGGATCATGAGAAGGGAAATTCGGCTGATGAGGAGGATGACGAGCGAGAGGAGTAAGGGGGCCCCACACTCCACGAAACACCCGGCCCCAGCCCAACGAACACGACCTAGAGGCGCCCAAACAGCAGCCTGAAACACCCAGATTCGTTCTTCCCTCCTCCCTCTCCCCGACCCTTACTCCACCCCCTCCCGCTTCTCCCCCATCCCGCCCCTCCTCCCCCACCCCTCCTTCGACGACGCCAGGTCGAGGACAAAATCGGGCGAGTAGAATGGGGGATTGGGGGCCGCGGCCTTCTCGTAGCGCCCCGGGCACGCTCTGAGAGCATCCCCGAACGCTCTGGAAAAGGACTCGCCCTCGTCCCAGCCCCGCCCGGCCTCCTCCTCGCCCCTCCTGCTGGAGCGGCCCCGCGGCGGCCTCCGCGCCAGCAGCGCGGCCAGCTGCCTCTGCACCTCCCCTGGCTCGGGCGAGGCGCCCTCGGAGAGCGACCGCGCCAGCGCCTGGAGCTCCTCGCCGGGGGCCGCGGGGAGAGGGGGGTCGAGGCACGGCCAGGGAGGAGGAGGAGGAGGAGGAGGAGGAGGAGGAGGAGGAGGAGGAGGAGGAGGAGGAGGAGGAGGAGGATTTTTTTTGACGTCGACAAAGCAGCCACATACGCCTTGCCTGGTGGCGAGCCAGGCAAGGGACGCTCCTTGGCGTAAAACCTCCACAGATTCACCAGCGATGTCTTGGCGCCTGGAAGGCTTTCTGAAAGGGAAACAAACAGGGGGGGGCCGAAAGCCGAGGGGCGATTTCCAACAGACAGGAGGATCCCCATCGGCTAACGGCCCCCCCCCCTGCTAATTAGTCCGAGTCCGAGGAAACCAAACAGGTTACCTGCGGAGCTGCAGAGGCGGCCGCCTCTTGGAGGCTGGGCGCGGAAACGACGCCGCGGCGAAAGGCACTTTCTGGCGAATCGGGCGGCACGTTGCAGGCCTCCTTGCTCACCTGAGGGTCCAAGCCAGGGGCGAAAGGAGGCAGACATGGCGAATCAACAATCGTGAGGCCTCGCGTGCATGCACGCGGGTATCTACCCGCCATGATCCTGTTGAAATTCGTGCGACCGTGCCTGCTGAACTGACCTGGGCAACGGTTCGCCAAATTGCTTTTGGCAAGCACTCCGTGGTGCAGGAAGGCTCCGCACTTCACACAAAGGAAACAATCGGAGCCATCGGAAACATGAAATAAAGCAGGCACATGCGCATTGCTCTCGGCCGCACCCAAATCTGGTTGCGCCGAGCCTACACACTTGCCAGGGCCAGGTTTTGCCGCAGACCTGGACCCTTTGCGACAGACCGTGCAACGCCACATGCCACTACAGTGATGCCACACGTGTCCCTGGACAGGCAGCCCCAGGGGTTTCCCAGGATGCTCGGCACGCAGCTCGACTCCGTCCAACTTCAGCTTTGGCCACTGTGGCAGAAGCTTCGCGGCCAAGCGGCACACAGCGCGGGCAACAGCAATGCAACGCTGAACACGATTTTCCTCGGCCTCAGTGGGTCGAGGATGCGCCTGCGCGCCCATCTTTGCGACGGCGTCAGCGTGGCCATTTCCCCGACGGCGAAAACGCTCACTCTCGTCAAGCTCTGGCTCGTCGGGGTCTAAATGAGCCCTAACCTTGGTTAAGGCAGAGATGTGGCAGCACTGGTTGATGTACAAGAAATGGCCCGCGTACTTGCGCTCGTGCGACAGTCGTGCCGCCGCGGGCAAGTTAAACTGCGAGACTACCGCCTGGCAGTGAGTATAACAGTCACTCGGAGTCCCCAGCTGCAGGGAAGCCTGTGCTAGAGCTGTAAACTCGGCCGCAGGGGCCGACTGAGCGATCGGCGCCCACACAGGCCCATGCAGCGTGCATTCGGGTTGGCCATCAGCCGAGACCTGGACCACTCCCCATCCAGCCCTCGAAAGTTCTGGTATCGGATGCCCGAACAAACCCCCATCTACGAAAATTCGGCCCCCGATCACTCCGTCATCGAAATCGCGATCGTCCCGATACGATTTTATTTCCACACCGCCGAACTCCCTAGGCTGAGGCCAATACCCTTCTGGATGCTCGAAGATGCCGCGCGTGAATAAAATTTCCTCATCCTTCGTGAGCTCCCCACACGCCATCTTGATGATATTCTCTTTCACCAACTCCTCCCTCTCGTCCCTCACGGCCTCGCAAGTCCAAAGCCTGTGATGCGGGGTGTCAACAGCCTGCTGACAGAGAGGGCAGAGCAGCTGTTCGTCGTCTAACTGGTATCCAAGGGCATGAGCCCGTGACGCTGTCCAGCAGCCACCACAGGCCAGATTACGAATAGCTCCTTTTTTTCCATGGGCGTGTAGCGTTTTTTTTGCGGGCTTCAGATTTGACAATATCAAAACACACACGGTCCCAGGGCACCTCCAGCTTGACGGCAATGGACCTCTCAAGGTCCCGAACGACAGCCCTTCGCAAAATATCCTTGAGCAAAGTAGGACTGACGTAAGTAAGCGAAACAGCAGTGCCACGATGATCCAGCAGCGTGGCGAAGTCCCGCATTCGCCACCCTATCCTCTTTACTGACATGTACAACGCACTGATGGGTCCGTGAACGTGTCTCCACGTGATGGGAAGGGTGGCGGACTCGAAAACGGCAGACCAAAGACGGCGCAGCTCTGGCATGCTAAAACAGAATGGAAAGGCCCTTGCCGGCGCTGCCCAGACCTCCTTGCTCCACCTCACGATCGGTGCAACCGTCCCATACCAGCAAGGCTCATCCTCAAACACAAGCGCAGCAGACAAAGATCGTCCGCCACAAGACGGCCGTATACACTTGCCAGCCTGCTGCCTGGTCCGACCTAACTCGGTGTTACTTAGACCGTGCACTTCAGCTCCGTAGCACATCCCTGGCAGTGGCCCACTACAGAAAATCTTTCGCGCAGATCGGCCAAGGATATGCCTCTGTCTCCTGATGCGCCCCACCTTCCTACGAAAACCTCTCTCTCTCTCTCTGTCTCTCTGCTTCCGCTTAACCGCTCTCCCTCGCACCCTGCAACCTTTCCCAGCCGTGTCATCAATCCCCAAGTTGACAGCAGTAGAGTGGTTCGCGCTGGGCCCCGACAAGGCCCCAAGCCACTCGGCCAACAACTTGCCGAGAGTGGCGTCACTGGCAACCAGGTTGGCCTTGTCGGGGGAGATAACAGACTTCAAATCCTCCGTGACCGCCACATAAACAGCTGCCGTAGCCGACTTCAAATCAGCCAAGACCTGCTTGAAAGTGCCAGTACTAGAAATACCTATGTCATCTATGAAGAGGTCGATACTAGTGGTGGGCCCCACAGAAACCTGCAAAAACGTATCCATGTAAAAGATACGCACATAAGTTGTAGCTAGACTGCAGCCTGCAAGAACACCCCTGAATGCCAGAAAAGGCCCAGCCAGGAACCCAGTGATGTTAATGAAACGAGCCGATTTGTAAGCAGCCAGCGAAACCTTGATGACTGCGCGCGAGAAACCCAATTTTAGACACCGAGCCTCAAGATCCCCAAGGTCCATCAACTCATACAACTTATACATGTCCCGTAAGACTGTCGCAGCATATCCCCCTGTTCGTGTGGACCCTTCTGCACGAGCAGCTTGGCGCCAGACAACATCCGTGGCACTCTTAAACCCACTACCTGAGAAAAAACTTGCCGAGTGAGCCTCCTCCCATTCCACAGCAACCTCCCTCCTGATCTTCCCCCACAAGCGGTAAGTGGACGTGAAGATCCCGATCGGGCGCAGGCCGCCCATCGGCTTTGGACGCATAGCCAGCATCACTAAACGAATCTGGATGGGAAGAGTCGACATCATCTCAATGATACCGAAATTGTAGGATAGGACTTCGAGCGCTTCGTTGCAAAGAAGCCGAAAGTGCCTCATGTGAAAACCATCAACACTGACTGCAGATCGACTATTGCATGAGCGGCTTGCCAAACGAATAGTGTCAACAGAAACTCTTGGCAAGGCAGGCATAGGCTGGAAATCCTGGCACTGGTTGTAGTCGGTGGATTCAGTTCCTTCAGTAGCCAGCCACAGGCCTTTGAACCTGAGCCCTTCAGCCTTGAGTAACGACAATGGGTCTGATAGCACCTGACCCGATGCTGACAGCGTCGAGGACGGAGCCCAGGCTTCGACTGGCTTCGACCAAGCGTGGGCCGTGCGAGCCCCTTGGTCGATGTCCTTCAGAAGCCACTCCTTCCACGCACGGTCAGCATCGTTCTTGGCAGCGAGCGAGGCCATCTTCAGCGCGTCTGCGAGGCGCGTCGAGATGGTGTAGCAATCATCGAAGGACTGGCCGTCCTTCGCTATAAACTCACATGCATCTGCATACAACTGGCTGAAATCACTCTTGGCGAAGTTATCCATAATGAAACTCGAAGGGGAACAGATGGCTGCTTTTGCGTGAAATCTGGCTGACTTGTCGGGCTCTCCAGCCCGAACGTGAATCCACCAGAGCCGATAATTCTGACATAGCCAGCGGACACAGAACAAAGCGGGGTGTCGACCAGGACGTTTGTCTCTTTTCCTGATGTCAACCCACCAGACTTGTGGAGATTCTCCCCGACAACCATTCTTAGACAACTTGGTCTGAAGGGCCCCTTCTAACTCCAACTCAGCCGTATTAGCCCAAGCCATGTGCAACGTGTCGAGCCCCTCGAATGCCTCGCGAGACCCACGCTGAGCACAATCAAAAACTCCCTCAGCAAGTTTGAGAACTTGGCCCCAGTCACGGGGGGCAGGGGCAGGACCAATAGGTGGTTCGACAGGTAGAGGGGGAGGTTTCCGAAACGATAACACCTTCAGGTCCTCCAACTGCTCGAAAAAGGTCATTTCCACAGGATAATGTGGTGATATGTTAACATTACGATTTACCTGGATCGAGCAGATACCCTTGGCGAGCCCACTAGAAACCAGGAAATAGTCCAGGACTCGAACCCCCGCAGAAGAAAGACACGCCCCAGACTCCGTGCTCACCAACTGGGCCTCCAGGGACTCGACGTACTGGCACTTGCCTAAGACCGCGGGGTCCATGTTGAAGTCCCCTCCGATAATATACGAGGACATGCACGAGCTGACCGTGGAGCCTATCTCAGCGAGAATGTCAAGATTCGCATCGCTGAGCTCTTCAACACAGTGCAAGTAGCAACTGATCAGCAGGATGGGGTCCCCTTGCCTACATGAGTCCACGCTGCCATTGCACGGTGATGGCATACCTTAGTACCTCCGACTGGCTCGTGCAATCCAAGAAAGCTCCTGACCAGAACCGCCACCCCGCCAGAGGTGCACACGTCCGTATCTTCACGAGTCACCTTAGCTGGTTCGAAGAGGCCCTTCCACCCGTTCTTGAGCAACCAACTCTGGGCCTCAGCAATCTGGTATTCTCTAAGGTGATGCTCCTGTAACAAAACTACGTGAGCCGACGTGGTTGGCAGCCACTCTTTGGCTGATGACCACGCCGTACAATTG